CTGTGAATACTAATTTACTCCAATTATATTCGACAGAAAATATGCATAAACATCCGCCACAAATAGCTCATGTCATTTTCTCCTGAAATTATCTAATTTTTATGATTTGAAATGTAAGTGAATGTAATCATAAAGTAATTCTATTTTGTCATTGAATATTAGATTTCGTTCAAAGTAAAACTAAATTATAAAGAACCTGAAAAGGTTTCGTAATGGAACTCGTTTTTAGTGAACACTGAAAGAGATACAAACGACAACTCTACATACTGAGACTGCAAGCGGTAAATCTAGTCTTCCCGATTCCTGACGGTCCCGGAGTTTGGATTTTTAGCAGTATCTTTTTTACCGGTGCACAGAATTTATTTAAACTTTTCATGAACATTTTCTTGGTTTAAGGTAGGTCTCTACTTGCAGAATTAACTAGTTAACAGTCCAATTTTTGTCCTGATTTACATTTAGAGATACTTTATCTACTCTAAAAGCACAAAAAATAGATAGCTAATATATAATTTATTAAGATAGGGTGTCAAACACTCATGTACCATCTTGTAACAAAAACAAAATCTCGACTGTTATCAAGACAGTCTACATTTTATGTCATTGCACATGGCAAATACATTCTTTTGAAAATAAATCACAAGGATAAGGATAATAATGAATATTTTCAGGCTATTATACACATTACTGTTTAAAACTAAGTAAATATCGAAGAATTAATCTCGGTTTACTAATGAATTAACAAATCTCAAAACTCAAATAAAACTCTCTATTAGAATAATTAATTTGTTTACCCTAATTTTTTTGGTCTTTATTTATAGTAACCGATGTTTGAAGTATCTTTCAGGCATGATAACTGTATTGGTCATCTGTCTTTTCACTGAGATATGAGGTAAAACATACATGTACCCCCATCACAGTTCAATAGCCCAAGCCTTTTATGTCCATAAATATATTTATAAATCAGCTTAAAAGTGAAATGTTCTTTTGAAGAACACTTTTATCAAGATTTTCCCTCTTTTTAAAAATTTCATTCTCAATTTAATTCTGAGTATAAAATATATATGTATATAGCCTAAATCAGGGGAGATGGCCACTACTTATGATTCAACTTTCCTCGATGCCTATCACTACTTATAAATGATTATAAGCAAGATATACAATGTCTTTCAATCAAAATTATGTCTAAAATTTCATATACATCATAAGTAGCCTGTGTTGATTGTCATCTCTCACGAGAGATGCAATCATTTTCTGTATGCAGTTTTAATTGCATTAATGGCAAAAAAGACATCGAATTACTTCTCCTATATTATTGAAAAGAAGCCAAAATTATAATTATACAGTTTGTTTTAGTTATATAAGTATGCAGAAAAAAATTACTTATAAAAGCACAAAGTTGTATACAGATGTATTCTACGCACTGCACATGAGTTTGGAGGATCACTAAATAATGACACTAAACTGTATATTCCAAAAACAGTCGTACATGTAGTTCTGGATTTCCTAGATAATTTGTAAAAACTAAATTGTAGTAGATAGCATTTGAATGTTATTACTTACCTAATTTTAAAAGCAGGTGTACTTTATTTGTTTGGATAAGCTAAGTGTGTAAAAGTAGGACTTATATGCTTTGCAAGTTAATTACGTTCATCATGTTGATTGCAGTTGTAACTCTCCAATGCTTTATTCCGCATTACCCTGTGCATATGCTAATATTTTATAAAGCATTTATTGACAACAGTGGATCCAGAAATCTTGAAAAGGGTAAGGGCCCACCGTCATACTAAAACATAAACTATGAAATCTTATGGATATTTTGGACACAAAATTTGGGAGTTTGGGCCCCCTTCTATCTCCGCCAGTGTTATTCAAAGTTTATTATGAATAACAAACCTTTTGATGCAAGTTTAGTTTATTTTCCCACTTATACCCCACGGGTCCATATCACTTAAAGGAATGAGAATTCAAAGAAAATTTTTGGAAAGGGTCAGAATTCTTTAAGTTGGCGCTTTACTCAGCTGTCGGAGTAAGAAGTCGTGAAACGTATGTATGTAAGATAAAAAGGAATGCTAAAGCTTTACCGAACTAATTTTCGTGATATTTTTTTTTTTTTTTTTTTTTTTAAAAATTTAATAAATGATGCTTAGTGAAAAATTAAACAATTTTTTTTTTACAATTGACAAAAAATATTACTCTTATGATTATCCAAAGTCAATAGAAATGTGAAGTAAAATTCAAACAATTATTGCATAGCTTGTGGAGCAAAATTAAGCACAAAAGACTCTTCATCTTGATAAATTATAAAGGAATTAAAGAAACTTTTGTCATTCAGAGTTTACTCTCTTATCTGAGTATCGATGTACTTTAAGTATTATTGATTAAATTTAATTTGTGAAAGTGCGAGAGATATTTCCATGGCACACGTCCAAAACTTTATAATTTGGAATATTTCCAGATAAAAGAGGTTCTTTGAAAACATTATTTTAGTATATTTAAGTGTCAATTGCTTTAACAACATATGAAATTATTCTTATAAATCATGAAATTATTAAGATAATTTTAGAAAATCAGATCGATCTACAAATCTGTGCCCAATCTCTTTTGCAACCTTGAAATGTTGTAATTGTTCACTGCAAGCCCCCTCCCTTATCTACTCTGTTTGTTGAAGTAAAGCCACGTACTACTAATTTTGTTAAAATATTTCTTTCCTATCTACATGTAAGGATTTTGGAGTCTAATCATTACACATTTTTATTATATCTAAAATTGTTCAGGTAAACTACCACTCCCAAAAATACGTAATTGCTGAAAAAAATTACGCTTCACTGTTTATTCTGTGACATTAATGAAACCAAAGAGATGTATTTAAGTCTTTCTGGAAAGCCAAACTTGTTTTCTTTTATTATAAATGAGTACCTTTGTTCGTATTTAGAAAATGTGCCGTCAAAAACGAAAGTAGGAAAATATCATCTGCACAGCATATCATTTATGCACAAATGAAAACAATAAAGGAAAAGTATCATTTAATGACATAAAAGCAAATTATTTGCCACGTTTTCTGTATATAGGTATCAGAAATATTGGAGTTGTACCAATGCAATCATAAACGCATACTATCAATTTAGCCCCCCAGGCAAATATATACTGCATCTGAAATGTCCGACATTTGCCCTCGCGCTTGTGTTTTAAATCGATTCAATTTTCCGATACACACTGTATAAATCTCTATCCTTGCACAAAATACCCCAAATCATCTTTATACACCCCTCCAACGTTTTGTATATACTGTTTACGTTTTTGCTGATCTTATTTGTACAAAAATTCAAAAACCGAAAACGGCTCAATCTGGCTTCCGTTTTACCACAAGTAGGCCCCTACTAAAATGAATTCATTATTGCATAAAAACTTCCGGAAACATGCTTATTTATTACTTAATCAGCAGTATCACCTGCCAAAAAGCGGAACTTATAATTGCTAAAACCCAAAACGGACACCGATGTTTTCGTAGAATCGCGATTAAAAACAACAAAATTAAGTATATTGTTTTTAAGTAAAAGGAAAACCTCATTTGCATACCAGATAATTTGTACGCACACAAACTCTCACATGTACCACTGTTTTTTTTTATGTTTGGTCAATATAAATTTGTTTTTCATTAAAAACTTGGTATTGCATTTTTCTTCAAAAGAATTAAGTTCTGACGAACTCCATGTATAATGTTCGTGTAATTGAAATACATTTATATTCACAGAGAAGTTTTATTTAACAAACCTGTTGGCTCTTAAAAGGATGCTGAAAATCCACATTTTTTCAACATTGATATTATTCCTGTGAAATTGAAATTTTCATAACACGAAGGTAAAGGTGCTAAGGAAAATATATTACAATTTTGAAGATTGTGAGCAGTGAATTGTATAAATGATCAACCGCCGTTTTGATATGGGAAACCCAAAATATATGTTGGATGAAAATTAAATTAATAAAAGGTGTACAACGCTTAGGGCAATATGTAATAAAGATTGCATGAAAATTTCGTTCAGTGGTATAAGAGGAGTTGCGGATAAGAGGTACTATGAGCAGTGAATTATATAAATGGTCAACCGCCTCTAATATGAATATAATGGCAATGTCCATGTTTTACAATGGGAAACCCAAAATATGTGTAGGATGAAAAAGTAATAGAAGGTGTATAACGGCAATATGTAATTAAGATTCTATGAAAATTTCAATCAGTGGTGTAAGAGTAGTTGCAGATAAGAGATAAGAGATGCGTAAAACTAAAGCTCAACAAACAGATGGACGGACATCCCGATTAATAAAAACCCTCCCGCTTAACAAGGTGGGGTTATTAAAAAAAAGGACTAATGTAGGCAGGCAAGCATTATGGACCATGCATTTCTTTTTTAAATTCAATGTCTCTGAATGTCTTTCTGAATATTGTTGCAACACAAAAAATCTTAAACAGTTGTCTCTATTTAAAATAATTATGTTGTTTACTAACTTAACCTCCTGATCAAAGATTTTATTTTACGCCATGTTCAACTCCCATGAGTACTTTCAGTACTTTGATTTTCCCATTTCGACAATCCCTTTGTTCAATTCAACAGAGTAAAGAAACAACATTTATGATCACAAATACCAATCCCTACATTTAATTTTCAATTAAAGAATACAAAATGACGAGATAAGATGCTTTTTTAGAATCTTTTTATTGTGTTTGTCTTTTTCATTCTAAAAAATATACCCTTCAAAACGTGAATTAAGTCCTTTTGTGACGCAGCAACACCCCCTATGCTCTATATTTAAAAAAATTCTAATAATCATTATTAAATAAGAATTTGAATGTTAATTAGATTTATATTTGTGCATTTTTGGTGTATTGTATTTGATAATGTGACATCAAATATATAAGATATGGACACTGTGACATTACTTTTGGATCAACCCTCGTATGTCTGTTGTGAAAGAAGAAATTTGAAACAAATGATATTTCTTTTTAGCAAAGAAAAGCAAGAATAACAACGAGAAAATAAATGCTACAAACGTTGACCCTACGACACTGACATTCTATGACTTTGGGGGACAGTGTGCGTACTACGCCTGTCACCAGATTTACCTGACCAGGAGAGCTTTCTATATTGTGGTGGTGGACGCTTCTAAACGTCTTGACCAGAAGGTGGATAAGGAAGTGTGTGATCAAGATGGAAGCGTATTCTGTGGATGGACCTATGGAGGTATAAAAACATATACTTTTTAATCTTTACTTTAAATATAATATGTTATATTTTCAAAAAGGCATCATAAAAAAGACAATGTAGTATTTACGATTGGCGGTATAATACGACTGCTCAGTTTATTTTTCGATTCTCCTATTTTTCTTTGTGTACCTTTTAACTGACGATTTTTTTTGAAAGCAGAAAATTTATTGATTTCTTTGAAATCAGATAATTTATTTATTTCGTAATCATAATAATGATTGGAAACGATGCATTTCGCAATGCATTTTACAAAAACTCTACCATTTTCAACGCACTAAATTGCCGACAGATTTTTCTGCTAAATGTTTTTTTCTGATCATGACAAGAAGCACTTGGCGGGTGTGACCGGTCTGCAGGGGATGCTCACTCCTCCATGGCTCCTGATCCTAACTCCTACGTTTATAGGTCCTTGTTTGCTTTGTTTTAAAGTTAATATTGTGTAATGAACGGTTTAGCTTAAGCTTGGCTTTAGAACAAGTTCATTGTCTCCATGTATTTTATTCAATTATAAAGAATTCTGCACTTTTTTTTATTTACATATAAGCAATAATGGAACAGTAGCTTGAAAAACAAACATACACTTATAGGAAGTCCTGACCATTACTTATTTCATATAATCATTCTTTTATGAGCAATAAACATGTTGTTTTATGAATGCAATCAAAACTTTTTGAGAAGGGTGTAGCCGGTGTGTGGGTATATTTTTGATTTAATTTTATGCATATATTTTTTTTAGATTGTGGACACAAGATAAATGCATTGAAATTAATTTCTTTGATTTATATTTTTAAGGGTTGAAAATGTCGTAAATATTGCGATTTTATTCTCGTGCACACATTCTCAGTTATTTTGCATAATTATATAAGCTTGAAAGTTTTCATGATAACAATAAATCTTGAATTTGTAACCTACTAGCTTTATCTATTTGTCTGCCTTACACACATTTGTTTCTTCTGCAAGCAATTACTTTTAATACATGAACAGGGAGTTATTTATACATGTACTAGTATAATCATGATCCCAGCAGAAGTTTTGGAACACAGTGTTTATAATAAAATGAACATCAAAATGTTTAAGTTATTAACTAAGAAAAGCTTTGTAATCCTTTAGATTATGCATCATCATATTTTATCCAATATACCTGCGAAGAAAATGCTAGATTAGGCTTACAAGGAAACAAAAAAACTTGAAAAAGACAACCTTTTACATGTTGATGAATTTTCGTTTAGATATATTATACATGTAATAGCAGCAATAAAAAGACGACCCTGATGAAATATTTACTGTCTGCTAGATTGCAACACATGTGTAATATATCTTGTTAAGATAAAAAAATGAGTTCACTCAAGTTCACTGAAAAAGATTCATTCTTTTAAATAAGTTTTTCTTATGATTGTATCAATTTAGAAATGAGTATTTTCATCTCATTTTAAAACATTTCATTTTATTTCAGACTATTTTGAGTTCTGGATAAAGTCTATACACACCTACTGTGGTTCTGACAATGAAAAAGATACAAAGCCCGTAGTTATAATTGTAGCAAGTCATTGGAAAGAAGGAATCAGACAGTTCAGGGTGAGTTTTTTTTACCCCTGTGAACTTTTCAATACCACATCATTATCAATTTGACTTTTTTATTCTTCAAGAACGTTTAATTTTTAACACATTATAATACACAAATTCGTTGTATCTTCCATTATATAAACATACAGAGAGAAAATGTCTTCAATTCTCTTTTAAGTTTTTCAGAGGTCAGGAGCTACTGTATACATGTATACATGACCGAATTAAACGGCGACATAATATCTACCGTTACTAATAAATATAAAATAACTTGCTTTTCATGTATAAAAATGAACCAAATAAGCAAGTGAAATTTGTTTTTTTACGACGTAATCAAGTACTTCGTACATTCCTTTGGCGATCGATTTGACCATTTGTACATATAGAATATACCGATAAAAACTAGCCTTTGTTTACAAGTTGTATGTCACTTTTGTCAGCTGCACTGTCTCTAACTTCTATCCTTATTTTGTTAGACCTTAAGTGATATCTTCCTGATATGAGCTTAAATTTACCTTTTCATTAAATTCTAAGATGATAAATGTGTAAATCTGTTGGAAATTATCACAGCATTGCAATTACGCCTATAACAGCTGAAAAAAAAAAAACACCTCGTTCGGCGATGTCGTACTTCAATATAAGCTGTCGCCACTGTCTCTGTGTTAACATCATAAAAACGTTATGCCTTTAGTTACTGAAATCGTATATTAAATGTTTTTGATCAAATTTAATTTTACTTTTACCTGATTGCAAATAAACTGGCTCGGACAAGTGACTCAATCTATCAGATCCATCCATCCCTTTCAGGAGCCCAAAATTATTTAATCATCAATCCTCGAACTTTCTTTTGTCTTTTCATCATTTATTAACAATTTTCACAAGTAAAATATTCCCAGTCAAGAATCTGTTTACTATTACTAATCACAAGTAGCTATTTTTATTTACAAGATTTATTGTATATTGTTAACGTCCCTCTCGAGAATTTTTCACTCAGATGGAGACATCACCGTATGCTGGCAAAGGGCTGCAAATTTTGACCTTTACTCAACACTCAGGGCCATTGAGCAGTGAGGGATCTTTATCGTGCCAACGCCTGCCGCTGACAAGGGGTTTTTGTTTTTAAGGTCTCAAAAGACCTTCAATTTTCACTTCAAAGTGCCGAGTGCATGGCGAAGGAACAGTTGCTACCCATTTTTTATCGACTTAGGTCAGTCACGACCGAGATTCGAACTCACAACCTCCCGATCATGGAGCAAGCGCTCTAAAGACTGAACTACCGTGAACGGTATACTAGTATTCTTGAGAAAAAGGTTTTTTAAAAATGTACCTATATAAGTTTGTGCAAAACTTTGATCGGCCATTGTGGCCCTCTCCTACCCCGAGGGCTCATGATATGAATGAACTTGAGTCTACACTACCTGGAGATTTTTCCTTATAAGTTTCATCTTTCCTGGCACAGTGGTTCTTTTTAAAGAACTCTAAAAATTTTGTAAAACTTAAATCGGCCATTGTGGCTTACCCCCAGGGGTCAGGATTTGAACAAACTTTAATTAACACTACCTAAGGATGCTTCCCTATAAGTTTCGTCATTCCTGCCACAGTGGTTCTTGAGAAGATTTTTTAAAAATACCATCAAATTCTCATTATTTCTGAATTAACTCCCCTTAAATAAAGGCGTGGCTTTTCATTTGAACAAACTTGAATGCCCTTAACCTAAGGATACTTTGTGCTACGCTTGGTTGAAATTGGCTCAGTGGTTCTTGAGAAGTCGGAAATGTGACAAGTTAACGACAACAACGAGGCCGACGACGACAGACAACGGACAAATTTTAATCAGAAAAGCTCACTTATGCCTTCGGCTGAAGTGAGCTAAAAAGTAAAATTCTGGCGAATAAAAAGTGATTTTCAGTAATTGTAGTAATTGGAGAATTTTTTATTTCACAGGATTCAAATCAACTGATTGAGAGCTTGCGCCATCAATTTCCAAAGACATCCAATTTATCACAGTACATCACAGGCGATAACGTTTATTGTGTAGATTTTACTTTACCTCTCCATTATTTAGAAACTTGCTTCTTCAACATAGCTTCCAATCAACGATGGAGAGAAAGCATTCCAAAAGAATGGTCTTTCTTTGGAATAGAAATTAACCAGAAAAAGCACTCGGAGCGGATCTTGAAAATCTCAAATTTAACAACGGAAATTCCAGGGATTACGGCTAAAGAAAAGATGGATTCAGATAAAGCTGAAAAGGGTGCACAAGACATGCTGAGATATTATCATGATGCCGGAAAAGCTTTATATTTTAATGAAAATGGTCTAGGAGAAGAGGTTATTATTGACGTCCAATGGTTTATTGACGCCTTCAAACATATCATCACAGACAAGCTTCATTTCATAGGTATCCCTGTCACTCAAGATGACTGGGATGAATATTATGAGACTGGAAATTTGCGGGACCGGCTTCTGATAGAAATTTGGAAACATAAAGATAAAGAATTGTTTGAAAAGCTGAAGGAAGAAGACCAAGATTATAAAATTAAATTTGGATCATATAAGGAAGATAAACGATATCTGCAATTTCATAGGATATCACTTCTCAGTTTTATGCAAAGACTTGGTTTACTGGCCCTTGGTACAAAGTCCCACTATGTTCCATGCATGAACAGGAAAGAAGTGGAGTGTCATCTTTCAAATCTGATTAACAATTCGCACAGTAAAACGTCAGTACTTATTTATCGATTTGACTTCTTACCGTTTTTCTTGTTTTATCGACTTACTATCCATTGCATGCAAGAAGATGGTTGGAATGTACTACAAAATCAAGGTACATCTTGCCTCTACAAAAACGCCGCTTTGTTCTCGTGTAAGGAAACAAACTTCCTTTTGTCCGTGACAGAAGAGTCTATACAACTTCAGGTATTCTGTTTGATACCAGGACGTAATTTGGAAAGGACAAAAACGTGCAAGATTCAAGAAAGAATTGAAGACCTGTTAAATGATTTAGCGGGAACATTTCATAGAAAAATAGAGTTTGTAAGAGGTTTCAGATGTCAAATAGACGAAGAAAAAGTGATTGCTGTTGATATCAAAGGACATTTCTTACTAGAAAAAAATTACATTCCAAAAGAAGACTGTAAAATGATGTGCCCGTTGCATACGATTTCAGATCAGCATGTCATTGATACAGCTGAGTTTACTAGATATTGGAAATTGGAAAGAGAAACCGTGCCTTAAAATTTCAAAAAAAATAGAATATTTTTTAATTTAATTCTAAATTGTTGATGGCTTACAAATTTTTAAAGTAACTTGTAGCTCGTTTCACTTATTGGGCTCGTTGTTTTATTGTCCCTCAGCTTAAAAGATAGGATTATGTGGAAATCCTCCTTATCTCGTTATTCATCTTTCCTTCTGTTTGCATTGTCGTGTGAACTGTTTAAAATTCTCGACTTCATAAGAATAACCAGAAAAAAAATTACAAATGTTGGCACATAGCATCCTTAGGTAAAGGGCAATGAAAAGGAACCATATATAAGATTGGAATATGTAATGATTTCTTTTTTATTATTTTTCTTAAACTCCCCCTTAATTACTGCAGGACTAAAAATACTAACTTCAACTCTCTGCCCTTGCACCTTTAAGTAACGCATGTACATAATTTATTAATCGATGTCAACTTTCAATAATCAGATTCACCCACACAGATATGTAATAAATTACGAATATATTGTACATACAATATAAAACGAGGTCAACCGTCGATCATTAGATGAAATATTAGGTTTATATTAGTGTATATACATAGATCATGTAGATATATACATGTAAAAAAAAATAATAAATTGAACCCGAATAATAATTTAATTTATATGTTTCATATTTCAACATTTTAAGATAGCATCCAGGTGGCCAGTTCATCTGTCCGTCTCCCATACCATGTATGTGAAGATGATTTATTATATACTCATCAATTTCCTTGTTTTTGTTACTGTTAATTTTACCGAGTTTGATCCGATTTTCCGGATCACCACACTGTGGTTTTCTGAATCCATATCACCAATCTCTGAGACTGATGACGTAGTACGCAAAAACATGACGTTAATTTTCTTGCGCGTTAAACAGTCCATTGTTATTATGCTTTGTTTTATGGATAAATATTATACAATTGATCTCTAAATTTTATTCTGCTATATTTATTTAGCTATAAGGGGGTATATAATAAATTTATCATCAAAACAGTAACTTGATCCGAAGAGCCGTATCACGTCTCGTTGACAGGAGCGGATGATCAGACCAAACTCAACGCTTCGCGACTAGTTGGATCTGATGATCCGCGCCTGTCAACTCGACGTGATACGACCCTTCGGATCAAGTTACTGTTATAATAATATATATGTACTGACTTTGCCCCTTTTGGTCCATCGTTAATTACTGAGGGAAAAAATTGAAATTGGAAAATGTTGAGAAACAAAATGGTTGACATTGAAGAATATTTGACAAGACAAGCCTATAAATTGCTTTAAAAATTCTTTGTATCTATATGTTGTCAATGTCGTTATTAAGGTAAGGTTTGCGTCTCCTTCCAACTCATATTTTTTTTAATATGCACACATGCTATAGATCAATTTATTCAGGGATATTAGCTTTATCATTTAATATGATTTTCAAAGATATTGCCCGTCCCATGTTTTTAGTAAAAGACGCCAAATTTAACGTATTTCATATTTCACCTCGAATATTATTTTCATTGAAAAAATTGATTTATTTTATAAATTATCAAACTTTTATAATTAAAATGACCTGAATAAGTATAATTCATGCTTCTATTATTTAAACTTTTAATTTTCCGTTATCAAAAATGTGAAAATTTGGGTAAAAAAGAAGATTTTTCAATTTTCCTTGATAAAGTGAAACCGTTGCCATGGCAACAAAAATATGAAAATCAACGTTTTACATATCTACCGATTCCATCAAAATCCATGAAGTTATTAATTTGATCATTTTCAGTAATTTGAACTAAAAAAATATGTATGTCCCCAATATTATTTCCATGGAAACAGGGGCTTTATTATGGGTTCAAAACATAAAAGTCAGGTTTTTTTCTACACTTTTAAAGACAACATTGATATCACCTTGTCATGGTGAATGTTTAAGACTAAATGTTATTTTTGATATTGTTTTTAGGCATAAATTGGCCAAAAATATTCAAAATAAAACTCCTCCTGTGCTACATGATGGTCTAAAAAATTATTCCATGGAAGAACTCTAGTATTTATGGCAATTTTTACATCTGAATATTCTGATGAAATTGTCCATGAATCATACTGCAACACCTTTAGAAGTACATGTATATGTATATAAACATACTTCGGAACATGTTGCAACTAAACCAATTAAAAGCCTATGAATTTGACCTCATGCTGATTTAGTTATTTCAACATGTAGTAACTTCTAGACATCTTTGTAACAAAATACCTTTATTCAGTTATGGCTGGTGACTGTCATTATACATGTATGCCATTTTTTGAGTGAAATGTTGTAAGCATAGCATCCATGAAGCTGCTGTTTTTATAATTAAATGATTTCTTTACTTCGAAGAGTAGAAATGCTATCTTTAAAGTAATGTTTGTTTGCCCTCTCTTGACTCAGGGTAAAATTATTGGGTCGGTAGGTGATAAAATCTTCAACAATATTTTTAAGGGGGATAAGAGGAATAAAAAGAAAAAAATACGGCCCTGCATTGAAAAAAAAGTTTTCAGTCTGGTCAATTTAGTCAGTCGGTCTGGAGAGGCCGACAACAAAACATTTTTTAAAGATGGCCTATTTCTACACTTCATGGACATTAGCTCAATCATTGGATTAGGTAGTCTGAGAATTTAAATTGAAATATCAGACAGAACAAAATAAAAATGAATTCTAAGTGACATCAATTCATACTTTAATAAGTTTACAGAGTACTTCTGATTTCAGAGAAAAGGCAAATTCTGCAAAATGACATAACACTATCATAAATATTTGTCAAGAACAGGGAAAAAGAAACAATGCTACAGTGATAGATATTTATCCTTGATATCCATGAAATAATAATTTAAATATAACAAAATTTTCTCCTTTTTAAAATCAAAATACAGAAAAAAAATAAAAGATTATAAATGTAAACCATTTTAAAATAAACTCCATGTATTTGTGAAAGATTTAAATTTTAGTAGATTACTAAACTGGTCTTATCATGCCTACTAAATTAACAACCTTACAATTTCCAAGTGTCATGTTTTAAACTGTTACAGTAGATATAATTATACATGTTCACAGTTCACTGTAGCTTTATGTACAAAACTCATCAGTTTTCAGAAATACTTATTTGAGCATATTAGGTCCTGGTAAGAACAAAATTTAATGAATAAAAAATTAATCTTAATTGTTCATGTATTAATTTCCTTGCAATTTTACAAACCCTTTTAAGAAACTTGTTTCATGTAAGTATAGACAAAAGCAACCTTCAATTAATACCTATGATGTTTATATACATTTATTTTACTGAAAACAAATTTATTCAAAGATGGACAAACAGAGCATGCACTGCAATCATCACATACACATATTTTCTAAATATATGGAAAACAGCATGTATATACTAGACAGGATGTTGTTAAACATTAAATTTTCTTCTATAATCTATAGACATATAAAAATATGCATTGGGTATAACAAGTCCGAAGTTCTTCTCCAAATCTCCATTGATTTTACCATGTCTGGTTCAACATCTTAGCTTGATCCATCCAACTTTCTTTTATATTCTTGAGCTTATATGGGATGACCTCTACTTTGATTGATGGCACAAATCTTTTAAGGAAACACTGAAGTACTTTTTTTTGGTTCTTATCTATTCCAGTTAACAACCCATGATCTGAAATCATGTGTTAATTTTTACAATAACATTTAAGGAATTGCATTTTTGGAATTTCATAAGGAATTGCACTGAGTTTCATTCACTCAATCGAATGAAATGAATAAACTTCCAACATAATCAATGAAGAATCAATATGAAATTATTGTAAAATTTACAGATTGAATTAGTGAAATGCAAATGCTTGATCAAGAAAATTAATGTTCTTGTCATGCACAATCTGCATCTCTTTTTTATTAATTAGAAAATAAGATATTAATTAAAATCAAACCTCATTTAAAAACTTTAAGGTAACTTGAACAATTGAATACCTGTTCCAATAATGTTACAAAAATTAGGCCTAAAAAGCAAGGATTTTATTTTTCATAATTTCTTGAATGAATGCATTTTTATTTTTTAGCAATGTTGGGATATTAGTCACATCCTGACATCCTTGTACCGTTTATTCATCGTTTATAAATCCGTAGTCAGTAGATCATTCATAACTTTCAGTAAAATGAATAGTTAAATTAATAATTACCTGATGAAAATACTATCAACAATCAAACTGTCAACATCATCATTGGACATGGTCAAATGCACTGTGACTTTTCTTCCTTGTTCGGACTGCATATAGCATAATACTTTACAGTATACTCTCAGGTCTTTTCTTTATTCTTTCCCATTGTCACTTAAAACTTTAGCAAGAAACACACAACAGTACAATGCGTCAATGACTTTCTTCGGAATAGCCGTGTAACTTGCCACGTTCCGTATCGAAAATAAACAAGTCCTTCTTTATTGGTTCATCCACATGCATCACGCTAATCTCAGAGGCTTCTAAGATTCCTATGTTTTGATTTGTTATAAGACTTTCTCCTGAAAGCGTCCTTTGTTATTAGTCCTAACAATAAGTGACAACAAACATCAAGTATGACAGAGGAAATTCGTTACCGAGATGCTTAGCATCGCTGGTTTCAATTCACCTGTTTCAAACGCTTTGGTGATTCGCAAGAGTTATCTCCCTGTAAACGCAAACCTTACCTTCAATTTAAATGCATTGTTTTTGTTTTTACATGTTTTAACTCAGCTTAAGTTTACCATCTATGTTATACTTCTACATATGTTACTTTACCTAGTCTATATCCATTAGAAAGATTCTCCTGTTTTGCAACTTCCTGGCAGTTAATAAAAGGTGTCCTTAAAGCTGAAAAAGGAAGTTTCCTTAAGACAAAATATAAAATATTATAAAAAAAACTAGAGGTACCCTTGAGCGATGAGCTCACTAAATGATACCTCCTGCCTCCATGTAGTTATAATGGCAAAGTATAATTTTTGCTGTGGCCGGGAAATCCAAAATATGTGTCGGATCAAAAAGTAAAAAAGGAGATGCACAATAGCAATATGTAATAAAGATTTTGTGAAAGTTTCATCAAATTTAATTCAGGAGTTGCGGAAAAGAGATGGGTATCCCAATACATAACAGACGGACGGACGGACGTACAGACGGACGGAATTAACGATTACTATATACACTCCCGCTTTTCAAGCAAGGGGGGGGGCATAATCAACAGTTGTGCAATTTTATGAAGACACGGCCTTGAAGATTAGCCTACTTTTCAAATGTTTTAACCTTGTTCATAATGTGAATAAGAAGAGAGGGATCTTCAGTAATACAAATGTGCATTACATGTACCTGTGGCAAGACCGTTTCAAACATATACATGACAAGACCGTTTCAAACATGTACTGCGTTTTTTTTACCCTGTGACATTGACCTTGAAGTCCAAACTTCTCTTCTAAAACTGTAATCTTGGTCTTAACATTTGAATGAGAGGGGATATTGTTTTAATATTTCATAGATGTATTACCTGCTTCAAGGCCTTTCTTAATACACTACAATTTTTTTACCTCGTGACTTTCACCTAAAATTTTAACCTTCTTTCCTCATAACTTTTGAAAGGGAAGAAATAATTATGATGGCTTTCATTTTTGACACACGCATTGGCTGTTACAAGATGCTCCAAAGCATGCTATGAGTTTTGAGTCCCTGTTATTA